TTATTACTTCAGTCCTAATAGGCCTGAGGAGTTTGCGGCTGTGTGAAGAGGATATTGTGCACATTTAAGGCTAAATTTCCCTTGAACATGAATACGGTGCAATCCCTCTGGCTAAAGAACAATTGTGAACAGAAGTACAGCGTGGCATGGATTCCTTACTTGAGGATAGGAATTCCTTTGGATTTTTTGTTTTGTTTTGTTCTCGCACAAGTACTTGTTTTGGAATGGTCCCAGGCAAACTGAGGATAGAGATTCACTGTATGTGAAACTTAAGAAAACAGAATGTGAAAAGCTATCAGTGAGGTGGAATTCATGTTTCTTAGGACAAGCATCAATCTCAGAAAACCTGTAATCTCAGTTTTCTGTCAATAACACTAAGGAAGATCCCTAGTCTTTTGGGAGACAGGGTACATTTGTTACTGAAGAGCCAGAAGCCTGTTCTGGTTGAACTGATTCTTATGGTGGTAAGGCTCCTTATTAAGTCAGTGAGGCAAACTGTATGCTAACAGCTCTCGAGTTTTCTGTGTCTCTGGGGAGGAATCGTTGCATTCTCTTTCAAACTGCACTGGAAGTAAATCCTCTGTGCTTTGTAACTAAAAGATAATTCCCTCAAATCATTTACTTTGTCCTTTAAAGCAGTTGTTACTTTAGGTGATGCCAAGATCAGCAGATGTTATTTCTCATTTTGCCTGAAGAAATCTGTATATAAACTTTGTAACTCAGCCTGAGGGTTATTAACACTGTAACAGATAAACAATAACTTGGCACTTGAGGCATGATAGCAAAACATTTTTTTCAAGTTAAATGTTTAAAAAGTGAAAAGTCTGCAGTCCTTAAAGAAGGAGAACTAAATTTAGAGACAGAGATTACTTATATACAGTGGTTCTAGAGTTACTGTATCAGATCTCTTCTATGTATAATTTTTTTAATGTATGCTTTGATGCTTTTGTTTTTCTTTTAAGGAAGCATTAGGAGATGTTGTTTACTGTAGTCTTCCAGAAACTGGGACAAAATTGAGTAAAGATGGTAAGTTTCAGCTCTGATTTCTAATGAAGTAATTATTATACTCATCCTACTCTCCCTGTGCAAAGATGAATTTGATAAAGTAATCTTTATGTTCATTAACACCATTATAAATCTTCTGGATCCAAAATAAATTCAGGCATTTCTCCAAGAGACAGCTTGAATTTCAAATTCCCACTGTCAGACCATGCATGGTAGCAGAAAGTACCTGCTTATTAAGCTGTGAAGACATTTATTTTAAAATCATATATTTGAAATATATTTTTGTACTAATTTAGTCTATACTCTGGTTTTAAAATATTTATGTTCCGATTTGGACTCGCTAGTGTTTAGGCTGGCATATTCGTATTTCTGCAGTTACGCATTTCATGACAAAACATCTAATTGATATCAAGCTCTTAATTTTTCTATGAATATATGGTCTCAGTAATTTTGGGATATCAACTGTCATCATAGGTTTTTGCTCATTAATGACATACATAACTGAATGACGAAGAATGTAACAATCTGTAATTTTCCATGTTAAAGAAGAGCGAGCATTAACAGGTAGAAAGGAAAAGCCTATTCCTGTATTTACACAGAGAGCTGTCTCGCTGGTATATGAAGAAGAGATTGTCATTAGCTACAGACATGCAGAACAAAAATGTAGATTTGCTGAGGTAAAGTATCAGGCTTTTCTTTTGCCATCCTTGTGAATTAGGTCCATATCTGACTATTTTGGCCAAATCTATTGCATCGCAGTGAATGGTAAATGTTAGACAAAACATCTTTCTGTTTAGGGCTTTAATTAACCAACTTGTAGCTTTGTTTTATCTGAAGAAATTTCATTTCCGTTTAGTTCTTCTCTTGTCTACCTGTTCTGGCCTTAGTCTAATCCCAAGCTTTCCCAGAACACGTTGTTCCCTGATTCCTGGTGCTGATGCCTGGCTACTCTTCTGACAGCTCCGTGTTCCTCCAGCCTCTGTCTTGTCTGCTTGTGGCTTAGAGTATTCTGGAGCAACATTGCTCCAGGCACCATTTCCATACCTGCCTAAAAAAAAACAGAAGAAAGGGAAGCGTGGCTGATTTCAGTGTGGCGCTTCTGAATAGTAATGTGTGTTTTCCAGTGAGTGCAAAGGTAACATTTGACAGGGTTTCTGAAGAAAAACTGGGATTCCTGAAATCATGGCTATATCTATTTTGTAACCAAATTATGTATAAAAAGGTTTACATTGTAGATAGAAGGCATATTTAGGTCTCTTGCAGCAAGAGCTGGATGTGATTCCTTCTAACCCTGTATCATATCATATGCTGTAGGGCTTTAGACAAAGGAGTAGCCAAATATAAGAAATTTCCATCCCTTTGGTAGTAATCAGCTAGCTAGTGTTATGCAAGTTCCCCAGAATAATTCAGGAGCACAAACATCAAATTTAAGACTGCTGATCATTGTCATAAAGTTGGTGACTTCAATCTCTTTGACAGTTTTCCTTGCTGAAGATCAAGACATTTCTTCAATGGCTAGATCATCACCAGAATGTCTGACTAAACAACTAAAGTGCTTTGTATTTTCCTCTTAAAAGCATTCAAATCATATGTGTTTCAGATGAGTTTGGAGCTTTGGAAAGTGTGAAAGCTGCTAGTGAACTCTACTCTCCTCTCTCTGGAGAAGTCACCGAGATTAATGGTGCCCTTGCAGAGAATCCAGGACTTGTCAATAAATCTTGTTATCAAGATGGTAAGATGCCATTTTTATCTTTCAATAATGGGGACCACCTGGATCCTGGCAGTGCTGCTTGCTATCACAAATGGCTCTGCAATTCCTAGTTCTTTGAGTTTAATGGTGTGGAGACTTTAATGTTAAATTTTATTGGGCTTGAACTATATTCAATATATTCCATTAAAGTCTTATTGTAGTCGTGTCTTTGCTGACAGCTGCTGTACAATATGTTATTTTCAGACATAGACTATAGTTGA